GCTGTTTCAACTTCCGGACGGGTTTTCGACGGTTTTGAGCGATTTTCTCAGGATTTATCTGTTCCAAGGATTCCTAACTGACTTGATATCATCTATAAACGTGGTTAGGCCATTATCAACTAAAGATAATGTCAAATCACCCATTCTTATCCGAAAACCCACTAACCGAATCCTATAAATATAGTCCTAGGGGCTCATTTGACGGGGGGCGATTTATTATCAAGATGAGGTGGTGCTATCGAACTCCATAGCCAAGAGTCACGAATTTTAGAGAGGTTTAGCGAGATCCCGGTAAACTCCAGCATAAAGAAGGAGCTATTCGAAGGATCTGAAGTCCGTATGTCCGTTCCTTGAGATTAGGCTTTGTCTTAATCTCGAGAAGAGCTACTGATTTCGCTTGGTCGATCTCAGCGCTTAAAATCAAATACTTCCTCGGTGATGGTGAAGCTTTGCCGAATTTTTCATAAATCGGATCCGATCCATAGGCGGTCCACGGATAAACCCCAGCACAGGCAAAGATCCCACGTAAAACAGAGACTAATAAATAGGATCTGTGTGTAGTTTGAAGGAGATTGTAATTTTTATTTTCGTTGTGTAAATGTATTATAAAAAGATCGATCTTTTTGAACTCGTTGTAACAATCAAAGTTGTAATGAGTTATACAATAAAGAAAATAATTTTCTACCCAAACACGCTGGCGACCATAGTGGGATCCAACAGGTTCGCTGCCAAAGATGCCATGTCGCAACCTCAGATCTACATCCTGGTTGAAGAAGTGGTCGAATACGAGTTCGAACAACTGAAGTTCGAGGAGTATCTGTCGTCCTCCTCTAGATCTTTCGCCCTTCGCAAGCGCATGAAGATCAGTGCCCTCGTTGCTGCAATGGCTGCACCTCACAACACCCCTTCGACCTTCAATGAAGTCGGAGTTACAGATCTGAGCTCCTCCTCAATCAAGGAGATAGTCGCTGGATCCGTGTCAATCCTATCGAAGAGGGCACGTCAAAGGCAACGCCGCCGGCTTGCGCGTTGACTTGCTAAGGCTTTGGAGCCAGTTGATGGGATTCGCTACGAAGAGGATCTAAAGTCCAGAAGGTTCCAACCCCCTCAACAGCCAACAAACGGCCTTTTCTCCAAGCCAACGATAAATGAATGGATCCGCGTCAAAAGAACGTGTTCAACGCTCGAAGAACGGATCCTAAAACGCCGTATGTTGCTTGCGCACGCGTGAATTCTTATGCAGAAAGCACAAAAGATGCAGAAGAAGGACATAGTTGGGAAACAACCAAGGCTGCATCAAATTCTTATGCAGAAAGCACAAAAGATGCAGAAGAAGGACATAGTTGGGAAACAACCAAGGCTGCATCAAACTTGGAGGCCTGCAGAAGAAGGACATAGTTGGGAAACAACCAAGGCTGCATCAAACTTGGAGGCCAAAGTCCGAAACAGAGGTGTAGGCTGTCTAGAAGATACAATCAGATGACTTTCACGCCAGCAAATGAAAGCTGCAAATGGAGAACTTTTCACATAGATCAAGAAGAGTTACAATTCAACGATACTTCCGACAACTAATGGAAACTCTGTTCAGTGATTTTCACAATCAACAATAAGAGTTACAATCTGACGACTTTCACACCCCACAACAGCTAAAGCGAGGATTAATGAATAATGGTCCTTACAACGCTCTACAGAAGAAATTACAAATCAACTAGCCTCTTCTAAAACGCGAAACTCATCTTCGCGTTACGATTTTTGAAATGCAGGCGACCCCCGCGTTTCCAAGATGTAACAAGCAAAACGTGATCGGCCCTCGCGTTTTTGACGTTGAGTCAACACCCAACCTCGTGTCTCAATTCTAAGATGCGAAGTTAGGGTTCTGAACGTCAAATTGGGCGTTTGACTCATTCAAATATGAGTCGAACGGTTTCAGATTCGTTTTCCCCACGATCTGAGGAAATCACGCCCACTTAGGAGCGGATTTAGAGGGAAGTTATAACCTCTTATCCACCTATAAATCCTCAACAAACCCAACAGAGTAGGGGGTTGGATCTTTTGGTATCTAAACCGCACGGAGAGTTAGGGTGGTTGGTTGATAGATTGGATTTTCAGCATAGAAAACCGCACAAGGAGGTTCGGAGCTTGGGATTTTCGCTGGAGATAGCAGAGGCGAATCCTTCAAAGCAGAAGATTTAACTCAGATTCAGAGGATCAGATCCAAAAGAATCTTTCAGCAACAAAAAATCTGCTTGGCCATTAACCGAATTTTCGGTTCTAACAACTCTTTTCACAGAGTTCTAACTTGTGCTGAGTTCTAAAACTCGTTAAGAGTTATTCATCAAACTTTTCATAGAAGTTCATTGTTCCCACGAGATAAAAGACGATCGAATCATCAACGGAGAGCAAATTTGACACAAGCAATCGAAGGAGGCACTCTATCGCTACCAAGAAGAACCCAGTTTTAAACAAAGAGGAGAATCAAATTCATTCTCCTTTCTTTTATAATCAAAAAATCTAATTGTTGTAGGATCTGAAATAGATACACTTGAACACTAGAGGGGGGGTGAATAGTGTTCTTTTGAAAATTTATGCAAAGTATATTATAAATTGCAAAGAAAAATAGCAATCTCAGAAATTCACAATCACAAACACAAGGATTTTATACTAGTTCCACCAATCCGGTGTACATCCAGTCCCCAAGCAAATCCCGCTTGAGATTTTTCACTATGATTTTGAATAAACTTACAAAATCAAATGCAAACCTGACCAATTTGCAAGTCCCTACAAATTGCAACACCAATTGACAAACACCTTGCCAATTTGAACACCAATCTCTAAACCAAGAGATTAACCCTCTCATACCCGAGAGAAAAAACTTTGTTGAAGTAAGAACACAATTGATCCTATAAGCCTTGAATGTGTAGTGAAGTGCAACCGTGGCTTAGGATTCTTTTAACCTCTGTAAATTGCCTAAATGATATATATTTGATGAATGTTTAGAGGCAATTTCAGAAACTTCTCTTTTTCACAAAATCTGAATGTTTTTCACTTGAAAAATTGCACAAGGATCAAAGCTTATGGGTATGTAAGTCTCTGCAATTTTTCTGAACAAATAACCTATTTATAGCCATTGAAAAGATAATTTTTAAACTTTAAAAATGTTTAAAAATGGCTATAAACTGTCAGATATTTAAACTTTAAAAACTGGAAAACTGTATCTGTAGTCGACTACATTGAGTTCAAACAGACTCTGTGTTATCAAAAAATTTTCTCAGTAGTTGACTACAATGCTCATTAGTCGACTACACTGTATTTTGATAGAAACTAATAAATTGAAATTTGAGTTTAGTAGTCGACTACTGTTGACATTAGTCGACTACACTGTAAAATATCAGAAACTTATGTTTCTGTCAAACACTTAAGTAGTCGACTATAATCAATATTAGTCGACTATACTGTAAATTGACAGAGACATGTATTTGAGTTTTATACATGAGTAGTCGACTACTATTCTAATTAGTCGACTACTAAGATCAAAAATTCTGCTATAAGGAGTTTTTATAATCAAGTTTTAACTATAATTCTAATGGTTAACATAGGGGATTTCTATAGTTAACCAACACACTAAGCCTGTGTTAGTGTGTTCTAAAATTATGTGTGTGCGTGTGTGTGATCAAGGCTTGTATAATTATTCTAAGTAAA